AATGTTTACGCGAGTGCGTTTAGACTGTTTATACTGTTTAGACTTTTCCAATTTTGCGTGAAAACTATTGAAAAATGCGAAAATGCCGCCAAGCTAAGCACAGTGTAAGTGAAAATGTTGGACAAAATTATTTGCAAATGCGTTTAGACTGTGATTATACGGGAGCATTTTTTCACTTTTTGTGTGAATTTGGCAACTATTTTTTTTTTTGAAATTGAATTCGAAATGAAATGACGATTGTTAATGTTCTGGAGATAAATTGATTGATATATGATTTACATTTGATTTGCTCAGATATAATAAGATAGCAAAAATAATGAAAACGTTTAAAATTTCTCGAATATTTTATTGCGGTACGGGAAGTTCCAGCAATTTGCCTTTACCACGACGTCATACACCACTAGTTACACATTTTTTATCATTTTTAGACGAGTACGACCACTTGGACTACAGCAGACCAGGAAGTTCCTTAAAACCTCAATATCAAAGGATGATGAATGGTTTGGTTAAGGATGTCAATGAAGACCAGGACACTAAACCTGATCCTACCAAGGAAACGTAATAAATACCAGGATGAAAAATATGATAAAGATTAAAAGACATTTTTTTAAAAAAATCTACAAAGAATTACATTTTTTTTAAGACTTTGAACCTGGTTGTCTTAATTATTCCATTTGTGTCAGTGCAAAAAATGTGCAAACAAATATCTTATAATTATCTAAAATTATTTTAAGTCACTAAAATCTCATAAAAAGTGATATTTAATCAGACTTTTAATATTAGTTTTAATTTAAATGTATTTTTTTAATGTGTGTGCTGTTGTATTATGTGTATTGGTGCAATTTTTCAAGTCGAATCATAAATCAGAGATTGTTAACATTGTAAACAAATATTGTAAATATTTAGAAATAGTTATAAGAAAAAAACTCAGATATTTTAATAAAATTAAAAGATAATTGTATTACATAGTCAATAAGTGCAAAAAGACTTTGCTAAATAATAATAAATAAATAATTAATTAATATTATAAATTAATATAGTGGTGTACAAACTTTTCGACAATAACAAAAAACTAAAAGCAATTTAAGGTGTAATTTTTATTATAAGAGTTCTTTTTTTAAATGTTTATCAGAAATTGTTATTAACAATTGGCTGTCAGGAAAATATTTATTCGTATATTAATAATATTAAACAAAAGTATTTTATATAGATATATATATATATATGTTTAAGGTTGTGTGATATGATGTTGTATTTTTATATATAGTAGAAATTAAAATATGATAATTCGAAATACTGTTTGATTGAATTCGTGCATTGAAGTTTTCAGTATTTTTAATGCAAGTTTTATCTGGTTAAATTTGTACAAAATTTGCTTTTTACAATATAAACTAGATAAAATTCCTCAAAAATCTATCTAATATTATTTTGTTGTATGATGCACTAGAAAGAAACTATATGATTGGCAAAACCATCAACTCCTTAATATCAATAACATTTCTCGTGCATTTTTTTTGGATTTTAATCATAACTTTTATCTGATCAAATATTCTTGAGAAATGTTTAGACAAATAAAAACTAGATAAAAGTCTTCCAAATTGATTAGAATATTATTTCATCCTACAATTCATATAATAAATAGTAGTAGACCAAGAATGGATCCCTGAGGAACACCTGAACTTATATTTTCAATATTGATATAACTGCGAATTAGCAAAACCATCAACTCCAATAACATCGATAACATTTCTCGTGCAGTTTTTTTCAGTATTTTATTCATATCTTTTGTCTGGGTAATTTTATAGAAAAAATGTTTGGATAAATAGAAACTAGATAAAATTCTTCCAAAATTATTAGAATATTATTTCATCCTACAATTCACGAAAAACTAATGCTATTTAGCAAAACCATCAACTGCAATAACATTGATCACATTTGTTTTAAAGTTTTGTTCAGTATTTTATTCATATCTTTTGTCTGGATGATTCTATAGAGAATCTGTTTGAATAAATAAAAACTAAATAAAATTCTTCAAAAATCTGTATGAAATTATTTTGTTATGTGGTATACCAGAAAGAAACTACAAGTCCAAAGTTGGCGAAACCAGCAACTCCTATATAACATTCCTTGTGTAGTTTTCTCATTATTTTAAGTGTAACTTTTGTCTGGATAATTTTTATACAAATCTGTCTTGATAAATAGAATCAACATGAAACTCTTCAAAAATTTATCTAAGATCACTTTGTCGCATAATTCACCGGAAAGAAACTACAAGACAAAACCCTCAAGTCCTATATAACATCCCCAGGAAAGTTCTTCCATTATTTTAATCATAACATTCGTCTACAAAATTATTTTAAATATACGTCTGGAAAAATGAATTCTAAATGTAATCTTGCAAAAATCTGTCTGACATCATTCTGTTGTACGATTTACCAGAAATAAACTACAAGCCCAATAGTTAGCAAAACCATCAACCCCTATATAACATTCCTTGTTAACTTTACTCCTAACTAGTTTTTATTTTAATCGTAACTTTTGTCTGAGTAATTTTAAAGAAAATGTGTCTGGATAACTAGAAACTAGATAAAATTCGTCCAAAATCTATCTAAGATTATTTTGTTGTGTGATATACCAGAAAGAAACTACAAGCCCCAGAGTTGGCAAAACCATAAACACCTATGTAATATTGCTTGTAAAGTTTTTACATTATTTTAATCATAACTTTCGTCTAAAAAATTATTTCGAATACACGTCTGGAAAAATGAATACTAGATGTAATCCTTCAATAATCTTTCTAATATAATTTTGTTGTACAATTTACTAGAAAGAAACTACAAGCCCAGGAGTTGGCAAAACCATCAACTCCTATATAACATTCCTAGTAAAGCCTTTCAATTATTTTAATCATAACTTTCGTCTATAACATTATTTTGAACATACGTCTGGAAAAATAAATACTAAATAAAACCCTTCAAAAATCTATCTAAAATCATTTTGTTGTACAATTTACCAAAAAGTAACTACAAGCCCCAGAATTGGCAAAACCATCAACTCCTATGTAACAATCCTAGTAAAGTTTTTAAATTATTTTAATCCTAATTTTCGTATAAAAAAATATTTTGAACGTATGTCTGGAAAAACAAATTCTAGATGAAATCCTGCAAAAATCTGTCTAAAATAATTTTGTTGTACAATTTACCAGAAAGAAACTACAAGCTCAAGAGTTGGCAAAAGCATCAACTCCTATATAACATGCCTAGTAAAGCCTTTCAATTATTTTAATGATAACTTTCGTCTCCAAAATTATTTTGAATATATGTTTGGAAAAATAAATACTAGATCAAACCCTTCAAAAATCTGTCTAACATCATTTTGTTGTACAATTTACCAAAAAGAAACTACAAGCCCCAGAATTGGCAAAACCATCAACTCCTATGTAACAATCCTAGTAAAGTTTTTAAATTATTTTAATCCTAATTTTCGTATAAAAAATATTTTGAACGTATGTCTGGAAAAACAAATTCTAGATGAAATCCTGCAAAAATCTGTCTAACATTATTTTGTTGTACAATTTACCACAAAGTAACTACAAGCCCAAAGGTTGGCTAAACCATCAACTCCTATATAACTTGTCTAGTAAAATTCTTCCATTATTTTATGTGTAACTTGTGTCTGAAATTTTTTAAAGAAAATGTGTCTGGAAAAATAAATACTAGATAAAACCCTTCAAAAATCTGTCTAATATCATTTTGTTGTAAAATTTACCGGAAAGAAACTATAAGCCCAATAGTTGGCAAAACCAGCAACTCCTATATAACATTCTTTGTAGATTTCCTAACCATTATTTTAATCATAACATTCGTCTAAAAAATTATTTTGTATATACGTCTGGAAAAATAAATACTGAATAAAACCCTTCAAAAATCTGTCTAACATCATTTTGTTGTACAATTTACTAAAAAGTAACTACAAGCTCAAGAGTTGGCAAAACCATCAACTCCTATATAACATTCCTTGTCCAAGTCTCTCATTATTTTAAACGTAACTTTTGTCTGAATAATTTTAAAGAAAATGTGTCTGGTTAAATAGAATCTAGATGAAACTTTTCAAAAATCTGTCTAATATCATTTTGTTATACAATTTACCAGAAAGGAACTACAAGCCCGAGAATTGACAAAACCATCAACCCCTATATAACATTCCAAGTAAAGCCTTTCAATTATTTTAATCATAACTTTCGTCTACAAAATTATTTTGAACATATGTCTGGATAAATAAATTCTAGATGAAACCCTTCAAAAATTTATTTAACATCATTTTATTGTAAAATTTACCAGAAAGAAACTACAAGCCCCAGAATTGATATAACCATCAACTCCTATATAATATTCCTAGTAAAATTCTTCCATTATTTTAAACATAACTTTTGTCTGAAAATTTTTAAAGAAAATGTGTCTGGAAAAATAAATACTAGATAAAACCCTTCAAAAATATGTCTAACGTCATTTTGTTGTACAATTTACCAAAAAGTAACTACAAGCCCCAGAATTGGCAAAACCATCAACTCCTACATAACACTTCTTGTGCAGGTCTCTCATTATTTTAAACGTAACATTATTTTAATCATAACTTTCGTGTAAAAAATTATTTTGAAAATACATCTGGAAATATAAATTCTAAATATAATCCTTCAAAAATCTATCTAATATCATTTTGTTGTACAATTTACCAAAAAGAAACTACAAGCCCCAGAATTTTCATAACCGTGAACACCTACAAAACATTCCTTGTGTAGTTTTATCATTATTTTAATAATAACTTCAGTTACAACAACTTGTTAGGACAAGTGTTTAGACAAACAAAAACTACACTAAATTCTTCCAAAATCTAACAAAAATTCAGCAAAAACCAACTACAAACCCAAAAATTGGCCCAATTCCCAAAGTTTCAGCAAGCTCACCACCAATAAAAACCAAATAAATCCTTTATTATATTCATCAATCATCTTTCAAAATGCCAGGATAACTCAAAGAACAATAATTCTTGGCCTTCAGAATTTTCTTCACGGTTTCCACTTTTTTTTCGACAACCTGTGACCACAAACATGATTAATACCACAATCATGAATGAATATTTTTTATTATTATTAGGAATATTTTTATCTCAACCTTTTCCTCCATGTAGGTCTTGTGCGTCCACAAACTGCATGTTGCAAGATCATTCACAGTAATTCCAGGATCTAAATTTGGCAAGGATATCTCTTCACAAGGAAGCCAGTCTTCGTTTTCCAAAAAAGCTGGTTGGGAAAACATTAGACCTTCTGGGAGACCGAAGGTACCTTGAGGGAAAGGAAAAATTAGGGAAAGGAGGAGTAGATTTAGGGCAAAAATCAAGAGTAAAAAGACCTGGTGCCAATACAATACAAACTACAAACTAAGTCTATTATCTCACCATTGGAGACAATTCCAGCAGAAATAACTTCACCATCATAAATTCCGTACCACAATTGCAACAAATCCACAACAGCCTTCACCGTGTTAAAGTTGACTTGCTGCTCGTTTTTGACCTACCACAACAAACATTTTAATAAACTTGTTAGATGATAGATTGACCTATTGATGTACCGAATAATCCAGAATCTTCCTGTAAAGATCAGGAACATTGTGAATCCTGTAGGCTATAGGACGTTCATCCCTGCAATAATCGCCCAAGGGTAAAGTCGAATTTGGTTTGGCTCGACTTGCACGTTCATTCGGGGTAAATCTAAGTATTATAGATTAAATAATTAATTAAATTAATTATTTATAGTCTTGTGAAGGTGTTAAGAATCTTATTTGACTGTATTTATAACCCTAAATAATTATAATACGACTAGCAAACCCGACGAAATCCGTTTCGCCACCAGATGTTTTCGTGAGAAAGATGAAGAAATTTTTTGTTTGTTTTATATTTGAAAAGGAAAAATTTGATTTTATTATACAACAGTAATGAATTTATTTCGATTACAAAAATGAAGTGTTTTCTAGTTGAACTTCTCTATGTAAATGAAAGTGAATCCGCAAATTATCCGTTTCATTGAAGTGCTCTTTGGTAAACCACATTTTTTGTTTTTCGGTCTGACGTTAACACAAACAGAGCGGATGGTTTTCCAACTCGTGAACGGGCAACGTATAACTGCCCATGTGGAAAACAATGATTTTTTAAATAATCTATTTGAAATTTATCCCGCAAACACTAAGCGATTGGCCTCTCGACTTGTTATTGCGAACTGGAAATTGCAATAGTTTGAAGTCAAACGGAAGACCAGCCGGAATCATTGGTATGTCACCAAATCGCCAGCAATTTTTGATTGAATGGTGAAATTCAGTGCGTGTACATCATTATTCTTTGCGGCAAGAATTGCTCGTTGACTTAACCAAGCATAATTCTGATAATTCTCACTAATGTCATTATTCGAATTTTTAATTTGGTGCGTAAAGTTCCAGCAATTTGCATTAGGGCACGATGCCATGCACCACTAATTTTCTTAGCTATAAACCTCGCGGAGCCCGAGACCTTTCCAACGAATGCAAAATTGTCGAAATCGGTTCGTGCGTTCTGAAGTTATTTCATCAGGAAGGAAAACCCGACTTATTTTTACATATATAGAGGATTATAAGTCGAATGACTGAACAGCAACTTGTCACGGGACAATTGTCAAAGACGTTTTTGCATGTGACCCATCAAACGATAGGGATTTTCAAGCACATTTCAAATTCGGCATGCATAATTACGTGTTTTGGTAAAAAATAAAATTCTGACCTGGTGAAATGATGTATGGCCTGATAACAATCCACAAATCCGCCTCCGGTCTTTGGTGAAGAGGCACTTCCCCAAACTGGAGGCAAAGACACATCAGTTATGGCAACATTGGCAGCCTCTGCCAATATTGGCAGAGCATTTAGGCCTAAAATAAAAAGTAAAGTGTTATATTAAATTCTCGGACCATTATTATTTATCATCTACATAAACGATCTGCCAAATTGTACAGATCTCTGTAAACTTATTCTTTTTGTGATTATAAAAAGCAATTTTTCAGAAGAAGTGAATAATAAATTAAATCTATTTATATAAATTCAATTTCGAATTGGTTCAATTCTAATAATCTTCTGCTTAATAATGACAAAATCCAAATTATGTCTTTTCGAACAGTAAATAGGATAAGTCATTAGATCAATTCTTTAACTATCAATAGTAGGGAATGCAATACCGATGGAAAATTTCAATACCGGTATTTCGGTAATTTTTCATTTTAAAACCGGAATACCGGTATATTACCGGTATTTTTATTATCTTAAACAAACGTAGACAAAATTGAAAGTTACTAGTACAAATATAAAAAAATGTATATACAACTACAACTATATTCAACTAAAAAATAAAAACAATAAAATAAAACAATGAGTTTATTTTTTTAAATAATAATTTAACAAAATTATATCCAATTTAATTAATTCATTATCACTATCGAGTATATTGAGTACTTTTCACCAAAAACAAACTTATGAGTAAGAAAGACCAAATAATCATAAAAGATCATATTACATTATTATAATAAGCTGTATTATCTGTATCCGATGTGTTAAATTAGCAGAATCTCCAATGTTTTAAAAAAATAATTTTCTGCATTAATTTAAGATCGGATACTTTGTCAAGATAAATAATAAGTTACTATAATTGTTGAGTATTGTTATTTAAAACAATATGATGCTTCTATAGCATTTTCAAACTTCGAAACGTTTTCAAAAAATAATATTTTATAATTGCATTAAAAAGCAAAAATATTTAGTAATTATCATAATTATTATGTATAGACTTAGAAAAAAATAAAGATTACACAGAGGTAGTCTGTATGATATAAAATATTTCGGCGCAAATATCACTTAAAAAAATCGTTACATTTTTACATAAGATGAAACAAACTTCATTATCTATCAGTCCAATTCTATTTATTGTAACACGATATGAAGCCCTTAGTAAAGCAATAAATATTCAGTTTAATGACAAGTTGAGATAAAATTTGACATTTGTTTAACATATATAATCACTTGAAGATATAGCTGTTTATGCGATTATGGAATTTAAAGATAAATTTGTTCCGAGAAATTTAAACTTTAGTGTATTATGTATCAAATAGCGCTTATGTAAAAATGTCGAAAATACCGGTATTTTTGGGATAAATACCGGTGAAAATTCGGGCAGTTTGCCGGTAATTCGGTATACCGGTATTGCATTCCCTAATCAATAGGATTCAATTTGAATTATCCTCAGTCTCTAAATTTCTGGGACATTCATATTCATTCCATACTTGTACCTAAGTTAATTAAAACCTGTTTCATGTTGAGGATTCTAAAATCAAAAGTTAGTTTAAATTGCCTTCTTTCAATTTATTATTCTAATTTCTATTGGCGAGCTGGGGATTCTCGACATCCTTAAAGGATATTAGGTTGTCAAATATCTCCCTTCCGCTTTTTTGCTCTTGGTTTATAACACAAAAAGGCGGAAGGGAGATATTTGACAACCTAATATATTCAAAATACAGAAAAGAGCATTAAGAATAATTTTTTCCCTCAGTTCTTTGTCCTCATGTAGGAATCTTTTCCGACAATTTAACCCGATGAATAACAGCATTAGTATCTAAACAACATAAGAAAAATTCTGTAAAAATTATATTATTATCATGTGGGACATGTTTAACTATTTTAGCTTTTTCATTGCAAATTGGAATGCTGGAAAAACTTCTTTCTATGCATTAGAAAGCCTATTCGGATGATGAAATCATGTAATATAATGCAAGTTCGTATTGCTGATACTTTCCATTCTTCTGTGAACTGTGACATTTGTCAAACTCTAAAAATATAAATGTCATGGACCATATAGCTACAAAACTCCTTATGGTATTTTAATAAAAAATTTGTATTGTAAATAGATTGTACTGTATATATTCGAAATGATTACTTCCATATCTATTTAAACTGTACTTATGTGGATGTAAAATAACATAATGTGAGCTTTATAAGCAATTTGTTCCTTGGATAATTTTACTAATTACGTTGTCATTCATAAAGAATAATCCTGAACGCTTCAACCTATCCTCCATGTTGAATTCCTATTATAAAACAAGAAATTTGACTATAAAAGAATCAACTTTTAAACTTGAAACATAATTCAATACCATAGACGGAAGAGGAATACAGCTTTTTAATCTACTTCCACTACATGTTAGGAAATTGAATGATCGTCAATTTCATAATACTATTGTTAAACTTTTAAAAGCCCAAAGTTTCTATGATACTTCTGAGTTTAGTGAAATGCCTACTGATAATAATTGATACTTTTTTTCCAACAGTTACAATTATTTTTTCCCTTTTCCATACCTTCTTTATTTTTTATTCCAAATTATTTTAACATTTTTCTACCCTAAGTATTTTATCATTACTATTTATTTTCATATTATATTCTTTTTTGATACTGCTCTTAATTTTTATTTTCCAGATATGAGACTTAAATAAAAATTGCATAACGGATATTTAAAGGATTTTTTTTACCATAAGAAGAATCTTAAGATCTACAAGACTTAAATAAACTATTTCAATATTATAACATTTTTTTCTTCAAATTATTGTATTAGATAATACTAACGTTAGGCTTAATATTGTTTTCTAGTTGTTGTATTTTACTGTAATTAATTCAATTAAGATAATTTATTTTCTGTAATTTCTAAATTTAATCCTGTATCCGTAATATAAATATAAATATAAATATATATATATATATATATATATATATATATATTTATAAATATAAATATAAATATATATATATATATATATATATATATTATTTATTTATAAATATAAATATAAATATACAGGCCAATTTTGTGAGGTTTTATTTCCTTTACCTAAACTAGCACTGGCAACGACAATATTCTTAGGTCGATAAGTCCTGGCCAAAGATGCCAAAAGATTTGCATTTGCGCAAACAGGGCCACATCCAAGGCCCACTGGAAATATTATACGGATATCGTAAGAACCCTGGGTAAAAAAAGAAATTTTAAATCAGTAATATTATTATTATTATTATCTCACTATTCCTATTATTGTTATCTTGTGATATTTTATTGTTTTTCTAGTATTATTTAATTATTCAGAAATTTTATTTATATTATTTATTAATTTTATTTTTATTATTATTTGCTTTTATTTTATATTAAATCATCATACTAGGGATATTATTTTCATGTAAATTCTATCCTTCGCACTCTTACTTATTTATTTAAATTTATGTTATTATTTATCAATATTGCTAGATGTTGATTATTTAACAGATGTAATAAATATTGTAATTAAAAAAAAAAGTTTTTTCTTATGTAAGTCAAAATTTTGGGAAAAATTTATACCACAGCGTTTAGTCGTTCTGCAAGATCTTGCATTTCCAATTTGTTCCTAAGCATCCAGGATTCGATGTCCTCGTGGGAATTTCTTAAAGATAAAAAAAATATTATAGAAACTAATTATCTTATATATAAAAATGATCCGCTAAAACTCGAAAACGGCTAAACCGATTTGGCCACTCTTAGTCTTGAAAAACTCGTGCTAATCAGTAGGTTGTCGGAAAGGTGAGATATTATTTCAAAATCGCGTACAAACTTTACATTTTTAATTTGAACAATTTTGTAGAAGCGTAATTTGAATAAAACAATGAACGGTGGCTAATACGTCAAATGTCAAAAAAAATTTCAGATGATGTTTAATCACGTTTAAAAGAATGTTTTACGTGAATATTATTTAATTATGATTAAATTGTAGTAAGTAGTTTTGTTTGTAGTTTTATTTACACGTATATACAAAAACGTTGGTAAACGTTTTGATGTAAACAAATTGACGGCTTAAAATATATTTCAAAAATATAAAGCGTTGTAATACAGTTATAAAATTATAGTATGTTATTTCTTAATATGTGCACTGAATTATAAAAATATAAAATCAAACATGTTTCTAACAGAAGAAACTAAAAAATTGCAATGCACACTTTCATACTCTATTTTTATTAGTTGCGAATCGACGGTTGGATATGATACGAGAAGTACTTTTGAAAAATGTTTTAAAAATATACAATATTATACTAGAGCTATGAAATTTTAGTATGTTTTTACCTAATATATGTACTCAATTATAAAAACATAAAATCACATATGTTTGTAACAAAAAAATCTATAAATGTGCAAATTTGTAAACAAATGTACTCTTGCATATCTAGTTTCCAATAGTTGCAAGTCCACGGTTTGATGAGTATTTTGAAAAATATTTAAAAATATAAAACGTTATACTAGAGTTACAAAATTTTAGTATATTATTTCCTGATATGTGTACTAAATTATAAAAATATAAAGTCACACATGTTTCTTACAAAAACAGCTATAAATTTGCAATTCAGTAAAATCATGTAATAAAGCCGCACGTGTTACTACAAACTCAACAATATCAAATTTTTTATTATTATACTTACTTATCAGTTCCATTCAAAACAATAAGAATATGACAAGTTTCCAAAAACGTGGTGTCGAAAATACTTGCAACTTTGACCCGTCTCTCTTTCACCCCTTTGCCTAAAATAAAATTGGAATTTTTTTAGACAATTTTGCTCATTTTATTAAAAAAATACCTAAATCTAAAATTTCTATTATTACCTGTTTTCGAAACTGCATATTCATCAGACACTCCAGGATCCAAATAATCAGCCAGGGAATTTAGTTCATCAACAGTGCATATGTTGTCAAAAAGCAGAATCTGGAAAATATTTTAATAAATAAACTAATATTGTTTATCAATCAATCTAAAGTACCTCTGTTGGTTCCCTCAGATCGATTTCGGGCAATTCCAGCAAATTTCTGGCCAGATAAAAAATTATATCATTGTTGGCACCCACGATACAGATTCGTCTTTTGTTGGCATTCAGAGTGGTGTCTTTTTCTACTTCTTCTGCATCACACAAATGCTAAGAGAAAAAAAAATCAAATACACCAGATGCAAAATAAAAACCAGTTTAAGGAGCTGGTGTGTGCAAAACGTCACCAGCACTAAAACTTAACATCTGGCAATAATTTTTTGATACCAGATCTTCTATGGCAACCTTCTTGCTATAAATTCCCCAAAAAATTTCCCCAATATATTTTACTACCTTCAAGTTGTCCTGAACCAAACATTTAAGTTCCGAAGGTGACAAAACAGAATGCAAGGCGTAGTATTCGCAGCAATATTCCCAGAAATCTGAAGCTTTTCCCAAGTAATGTGCTTTTGGAGCAGGTATTTCAATTCCTGCTTCTACCATCTGCTCCAGAATATCATCAGAAATTCCGTATTCGATCCATATTAATGGTGACTCTAGATGATGCCAACCGTATTGCTTGTTGAGTTCGGTTAAGTAACTCTGGTAATAAAATAAAAGAAATCAATTAGTAAAAATTGAGATGAGGAAATATATTTTCTTACATTCCACACATCATCCCTCTTAACAATCCTCTGGTAAGAAAAACTGGGCAAATTCCTTCTCAAATAATCACAAACGTAGTCGACATGTGCAAAAGTTGGACAGGTAACTTTTCCTGCAACATTGAACTTAATAACTGACATGGTAATAACTACATAATAGAAAATTCAAGTTCAATTGTTTTTTTCCCAAATGTCAATTATCATTGAGAATTGATTTTTACAATGGTGAGAAGAAAGAGATCTCGATCAGATTCCATAGACATAAAAACAAATAAGTTTTCTTTCGATTATCATGTTTGTGATTTGAAAAAGAGAAGTAAATCTGGAGACGATGGTCTTCCTCCTTTGTCGCCAAGTGCCAGTTTTGGGCAGAAATTTAGAAGGTTTATCCAGAAAAATGTCATACTTAACAGTAAGTAGAAAGATAAAATTTTTATTAACTTCCCATAGGGTAGTTATAGTAATGGGCCAAAAACCGAAATTAAAAATTTTTGCATTTCTCGACGTTTTGAAGGTTTCTAAACATTTTTAAGGCATACTTCAGAAACTAAATGGATGTGTGTGTCTGATTTTTACTTTTAAATATGATGTCGAGTTAAAAAAGAACCTTTACATTGCTGCAATAACATCAAAAAGTCAAAACAATGTTGAAAAAATATCACTTTTACTGGATTTGCTTTCTAAAATCCAACAGTTAACAAGAAATCACTTTGGTTAGTTTTTTCATATGTTTAATTTTTTCAAGAGTTTTTGTACAAAAAAAATCCGGTTCGATTATGTTAAGATTTGGCAAAGTTAGATCCGTGGCGCTAGGGTACGAGCTTTGGTCTCGCAACCATAGGGAGTGTTTTGTATGTCCGCATTTTTTCGTCCACATTTTCGGGCGCATGGATCAACCGATTTGAATGATTCATTTACCATTCGATGCCTATTGATAGGGAGATGTGCTGATTAGTTTTTGGCAAAAGGCAGGTCCAGCCGTTACGGAGATATGGAGCAAAGAGTGCAGAAAATGCATATCGAGTTTTGAAAAGAACAGAGTATCCGATTTGAATGATCTAGAAAACATTCAATTAGTAATGGTTGGGAGAAGAATTCTACTGACGAGCAATTAAAAATATTAGAAAAAATGACTTTACTGGCAAGCAAAATTTTGCTTAAAACGTATTGAAAGAAAAAGGGACTATACTGACAAGCATAATGAAAATATTAGAAAAAAGGACTCTACTGACGAGTAAATAAAAATATTGGGAGAAAGGGACCCTACTGACGAGCAAATTAAAATTTGTAAGAAAAGGGGACTTTACTGACAAGCAAATTATAATATTAGAAAAAGGGACTCTACTGACGAGCAAATGAAAATTTGTATGAAAAAGGGACTCTACTGACAAGCAAATAAAAATATTGGGAGAAAGGGACCCTACTGACGAACAAATGAAAATACAAATAGGAAAAAGGGACTCTACTGACGAGCAACCTGAAGATTTGTAAAATGACAAAGGAGTTTTAAGAAACTTTAAAAGAAAAGAAACTCTATTAACTAATAAATGAAATTTGGACCCGGGAAAATTTGACAAAGGCAGGTCTCGCCATTTCGAAGATACAGAGCTAAATATGCAAAAAGTTGCAGTTTTTGAGTGAACTGAGAGTCACTGCTTGTATTGACAAAACAACTGCTTTTGAGGATAAAAAAAATCTAACATCTTTTTTATTTTCCATAAAATATTTTTGTAATTTTGGATTAAAAATTCAAAAAATCACCCAGGCTAAGCACAGTCTAAGCGCCACTCTGGTACAAATGTTTACCCAAGTGCGTTCAGACTGTTTATGTACCGGAGCACTTTTCCAATTTTGTGAGAAAACTATTGAAAAATGTGAAAATGCCGCCAAGCTAAGCACGGTGTAAGTGAAAATGTCGCACAGAATTATTTGCAAATGCGTTTAGACTGTGACTATACTGGAGCAATTTTTCAATTTTGTGCAAATTAGGCAACTATTTTTTTTTGGAAATTGAATTCGAAATGAAATGACAATTGTTAATGTATTGGAGATAAATTGATTTATGATTTACATTTAATAAGATAGCAAAAATAATTAAAGTTACACTATTTGTTATTAACGTTTAAAATTTTTCGAACATTTCATTACGGTACGGGAAGTTCCAGCAATTTGCCTTAAGGCACGATGCCATACACCACTAGTTAATTTTTGTATTGTATTTTAATGTTATTAATAAACAAGTGGTAAAAAAAAATGGATAGTAAAAACATTCATAGCTTTCTTGTACCACACTTTAAAAATGACCTAAAATTCATCGCTCTACACTAGAATATCCCTTTGAAATGCACGAGAAAATTATAAATATTTTTGACATGTTAGATACCTTAAAAGTTTGCTGATATTTAAATAATAGTCTTTTACAATTTAGCAAGACATCCCGAAACAAAACTCCACTACAGAAGTCAAGCTGCCTTGACAAGAGAAATAACCAGACATGTCAACTCCAAATACTGGTACATCATCCATCCATTTAGTAGATTCAGGTAAATAATAATCGAAATTGCTAGTTTTCTCATAAATTCCTTTACCAAAGTCAATTTCCTCCTCCAGGTTAATCTGGGGAGATGATAATCTTCGTAGTCCTCCTAATGTCCCTAACTTTGGCGCCCTTTATGCTCGCCTTTTACAATCTGGAGTACCTCAGGGGAGCCTCAACAGTCGATTTCATGTATGTAGTTTATACCATAAATGATTTCATCCTGATCCTGGACATTGTCATCAGCTTCAACACAGGAATACAACATCATGCCACCAAATTTGTGTCTTTGGACGCCAAAGAAATAGCCTCGTAAGTTGTAAAAGATAGTAGTAATAATTACTCCAGTCAATGGAGCGTTTTGGGTCTGAATTTTTTTACTGTGCTCCAATTTGCATAAAATTTTGGAATTAGGTCCATCTTATCCTCAAGTTCAAAAGTGAAAACAATTCATATGACACCCCTTCTCAATTGTGTAATTACATTTTCTCAAAATAACGTCGTATATCGATCAAACTAATTATAAGAACATATGTCTTCTATAGCTTTTCAACTAATACTTTTCAAGTTACTGGCCACTAAAGATTCATATATTTTCAGCGTTTTTCTTCGTTTTTTTGCAAATATCTCCTAAAATATACATTTTAACAAAAATCATGCAATGGACAAAATAATGTCAATATAAATCTTAATAAATCGGTGTTTCAAAAAGCGTTCTAGGAATAATATTAAGCAAGATTTGAAAGATCAAACTCGTTTTTTATCTCGTTCAAGATTTAATTGTTGTATTTAAAGCCATATAGTGTCGAGGTTTTACATTTTATGCATTTCGGTGAAATTGGGTTTTATAGTGCTCCATGTAAGCTTTAAAATGTTACAAGTTTTTTGCGTCTAAAATGAGTGAGCTATCATGCAAATAAGAAGCATATACGATGTTTTTTTCTTTTAAATCCTATGGTTTAATGAGCGCCATTTCCACCAGAATCAAAGTAATTCACATTCCATATAGAATTCACTTCATTATAGACACCTTGATGGATTCTAGCAGATTCACTACTTTAGTACAAACTATTTTCAGAAAATTCGCGATTTCATAAAAACCTTTTTCTCCGATTTTTTTAAAAATCGAACTTATTTTCTTTATATCTTTCTGGCTTATTACTGTTTTTACAGAGTTATGATTGTTTAAAGAGTGCGCGGACGCGCAATCAGAGTCTCTCTCGAGCCCTTTAACCCTTTGCCGTTTCAAAATGAGAATAAAACTATGATGAAAAAAGTTGTAGTCCTTTTATTAGCCTTTCAAATGGTATATTACAAATTGTGATGGAGTCGAAATTAAAGGAGTTATGACCCGAAAACTAATAAAATAACGATTAATACTGCAATTTAGTACATGTATGTAATGTAACCGAAGAAAACATGTACTTACATGCACAAAGAAGTATTAATTTCTTAATAAACATTGATTTATGTTGATATATATGTATGTAATTGTTATTTTTAATAAATACACAACTTTATTCTTCATACATTCGATTATCCGAATGCCCACCGACAACAATTAGTCCGGTTAATCGAGGTTCTACTGTACATGGTCTGTTCAAAAAGTACCCGGAATTACTAATAATTAAATTTCGCGGGTCTGGAGTGTCTGATTGTCAAAAATTTTTTTTTATTGTGTTGGTATACATGCCCCTAAAGTATGATGAAATTTTCAGCTATATTCACTGTTTACTTTGTCTGTGGTAGTCGCTAAGGTTCGACGTGTTTTTCTGAGCTCGGCGATTTTTACAATGGAAGAATTGAAAAAGTCAAAGAATTTGTATTAAATTTTGCGTAAAAAATGAAATAAAGTGTTGCAAAGTGCAAAAATCACCAGATATGGCTCCGTGTGACTTTTTCCTATTCCCAAAGTTGAAGAGACCCATGAAAGGACGGCGGTTTTCCTCGATTGAAGAAATAAAGGCCGAATCGCTGAGAGTGCTCAAGGACATATCAAAAAGTGAATATCAAGGGTGCTTCGAAAATTGGAAAAAACGCTGGCATAAGTGTATTATATCTGGGGGGACTACTTTGAAGGGGACCACATTAATGTAGACGAATAAATAAATATTTTTTTGAAAAAACGAAAATTACGAAAACTTTTTGAACAGACCTCGTATATATATGCTTATGCGTATTTATAATAAAAACGTACATTTAAGGATAGTTATATCATTCATATCATTTTGAATTTCTTAATTTTCTTTCAATTTCAAAATAATTTTTTCAAACAATTTTTTATCAAGGGGTTGTTTTCAAGGGTCTAAAATGGGTTAAAAATTTGATAATCAAGAGTATAAAATACATAAAATACTATTTACTTTATACGTAATTCTTATTATATCATACCGAAATTTATTTTTAAGTGTTTTTTTTTCAATTAAGTAGTTATTCGAAGGGTAATAGGGATTTCACGGAGTTGAAAATGATTTTATTGCAAGGTAAATGTATTAAAAATATTTCTTAATAATATCCTTTAATATTAATAACGTTATCTGGCGATAAAACGGCTCAATGTCCACTTATTTATTTATTATTGTTTTCACTTTTGAACTTAAGGGTT